TCAGTGTGCCATTCAGTAAAGTACGATGTCACAAATACATTCCAGACAAATATGATGCGATACCTAGAAGAAGCGTGACAAATACAGTGACACGCCATCACAAATCCAAACACAGGTTTATCAAAATCATACGCAATAATTCATCCGAACTCCAGCAAAACCAAAACTGTGTCAAGCTAACACAAGAACTAGCGTAGGAAGAATAGGCACCAGTCATGGCATGTACCTGCGGGCTGGCTCTAGACCAACGGAGAACTCGCTTTGTCCGGTGCATGGAGGTTCGGCGCCCCCACAGGGACAGGAGCAGCAGAAGCAGGGACCGATATACGTCAGCCCGGTGTTTGGATGAGCAGTTGTAGGGACCTTCTTCGTCTCTGCTTATGAGTCGGGGGCTGCTCTTGCGTGTGCACCTGTACACTCGCCACGCGTCTTACAGACACTGACTGTCACGCTGAGGTTTGACAGTGATCACAGAATGGTCACAGGACCCTCTTCGTCTCTGATTATGGGTCGGGAGCTCTCCTGCATGTGTACGTGTGAACTCACCATTCGTCCTTCAGACACTCGCTGTCACGCCAAGATTTGACGGGATCACAGCATGTAACATTGCCGAAGCCGATGAAATGTTATTTTTGTTCTGTAAACATAACAACAGTAATGTAACAACATTGTGCATTGCACTGTTCAATGATGATAAAACGAATCAGCGCCTCGCCTGCCCCCAACGGCGACGACCGCTGCTGCAGCTGGGCCGGAGTGTGCGGCGTCCGGACCGGCTGATGGGCTGGGCGGCCCTGAGGCTTCGCAGCCGGCTGGGAAGCACTCAAGGCAAACCACTGTATATTGTCGCTCCCAGTGACGTGTGCTCCTCCCCAGAACCTGATTACTAGAAAAGTTGCGCAAGCCCAGTAATACGGCCGCTGAGGCGCCGCATCTGCTCAGAGATCTAGTCCCCACGTGTACTAAACCGGTTGCCAGTTGTATGCAGCCTACCTGTATCAACCTAGCAACTGTGATAGGACGCAACATGCTATGGTAAACAGATCAGGATATAAAACACTGAGACGGAGCTGAGGTTTGGGATGACTGAAGCGTCTGAGGTCGCGTCAGTCCGTGTCCGGCCTGCGCTTACGTGCATGGACGCAGAATGTGGGGCAGACATAAGGGAAGACGCAGGAAGTTTGGTCTGCCCGAAATGAAGCCCATACTCCACGCTGATGGGTATGACCGCGGTTTGGTTGCGTGAGGTGTCTTATATACGGCTGCATCCGCTTGATCGTAGAGGGCATCTCCCTTCTCTTTGGCACAGGCTTTTTTGCTGACATGTCAAACGCGTTTTGCAAAAAGACGTTCAATCGTTCCAACCACCAGATCTGGGGACACCACAAGATCGAGTAGAGGGATTAGACAAATAGAGTTACATGTGAATGAAACGACTTCCAGAACTTTTGAAACAGTGTGAGAAGAGGTGAGTACTGACCAATGAGATGAGCCCCTCCAATATGGGCCTCACCCCGCCAGGACGGAGATGGGCTTTGAGAAGCATGCCGGGGTGTGATCTATGTTATGAGGTACGTCCTCAGGCGTGCAAGAGCCACGCGAGGGCCTCAAGACAGAAGGAAAGAAAATGCACCAGCAGCGACCATCATTGGTGCACATGAGCTGCTTGGACGTGCAAATCATGACCGCTTAGAATGCCGAGATCAGGTCTTACCAAGTTCGGAACCATATTGCTATTTCCAAATTATCCTTCAGCCACGTGAGCCTTTTGACATTTGAACGGACTACAGTCTCAAATTTACATATGAGTATAACTGGCGAAATGTGCTTTGCGGCAGGGTTGAGGTGCTGTATCAAGTGTGGAATCATTGCTCGGCTAGACTTGGCCGAAACGTTGCGTGCATTCTTCCTCCCGGATGACGACCATACTCCAAACAATTATTCTATTCAAACTGGTCAGAGTTAAGCCACAGCTCGACGGGGCTTTCCGGGGGGTTGCACTTTGCGCTGGCGTACTTATACGTAAGCAGGCCACGTCGCGCCTGGGAAGCTTTCACGAAATGAGTTGCCACATCGATACATGCGCATCCATTTATTGTGATCAAATAGAGCACGTTTATAGAAAAATACGATAACAAATACAACGCACTGTGCACGGTTCACTGACCATGCCAGCATACTAACGCATAACAACACATTTGGCCCCGAGGAACTAAGCGCGGCGACAGTGAAACGCGCGTGACATGCTACTCCTCACTCCGCTCCCCGTGCCTGCTCCGCTTCATGCATACTGCAGCAAGTAATACCTGTGTGATCTCACTGACTTCCACACTCTCCACCAATCGAGCTATCAGGGCGTTTCAGGCCTCAGCCGATCGAGTTTGTCCTGACTAACGACCACACAAACTCTACGCAGGAGAACAGATTCCTCACGCCTTTCGCGTCGCTGGAGACCACGGGGAGCACCGTGAGTGGATATGTATGCCCTGAACATCACAACGGTACGTCACCATCCACCCATTACCACACATTCAACGTCGTTCGTCCCGGGCACACGATCGCAATAAATAATACAGCAATAAATACATCACTTCGCTTCGTAATTACTACCTCTCTCTCTCTCCTTACCAAAGGCAACGGCCAGTTCAAGGTAGTGGAACCCCGTGGTATTCCCACGGGACTAACGGCTGGGCAAGGGTAGCGAACCCTGTCAAATCCTCACGGACCAGCGGTGGGCCAGCGATCGTCCGTCCCGTGGCGGCATCACGAGATTACCAGCTGTGTTAAGGTCGTGAGTCTCGGGGAGACATTGTGTGCACTGCGTTGGCTGGTGTGAGGCATCACGCCGGTGTCTCGTTCGTCGCGGCGAGCGGGCCGCGGCCGAGCCGTCCCCGCCGTGCGGGGCTCGCGGCAGTGTGGAGGCCCGGTCCGGGGGAGGCAGAGGTCCGGCTGGCGCACGCGTGAGTCTGCGTCGCCTCCACCCGCGCCACCGACGCCGGTTTGTGGTGGTCCTCGGCGCGGTCCCCGCCGGGACCTCGCGCGATCCGCGGTCCGGCCGGCCGGACCGCGGTCCACCTCGGCGGTCCGCTCGACGCCGGTCCCTCTCGCGCGGCGCGATCACAGAAGGTCCCCAGCGCGCACGGCCTCGCGCTAGAACAGCATTATCTGCTCTATCCACCGCCGGAAGTAGGTGATGCGCGTGTAGACGCCGGGCTGGTTGCGTTGCGCGCAGCCAATGCCCCAGCTGATGATGCCGATCAGCTCGTAACTGTCCGAGTCCTCGCGCTTGAGCGCCAGCGGGCCGCCCGAGTCGCCCTGCAAGGCACCGCTCTGGTCAGAGGTCGCAGAAACACAGTGGTTCACGCGGGGCAAGGGCTGTAGGATGTCTTGAAAACTCTGCAGATGAATCTATCATAGTATTACTTAGTTTAGCGCTCATTAATTCCGAGCGTTTTACATCTGCGTTCTTTTTTTGGAAAGTATTGTTGTGGGGCGCCATGGTCGGCACATCAGCTAATTAATGGACCAACATAACATTTAATCAGTGCAAAAACACAGTTCATGGCATCTTGACAGCATTTCAACATCGGTGACTACAAAAGATTGGGGAAGACTACTCAGGAAATTTGGCCCAGCTTGGGCCCCCGTATCCTCCCATGTGGGTCCTAAATTCTGTGGCCGTTTCTCACTCCAAGCCGTTAGACCCGAGACAGATACCGGTCCCGTCACCGCGCGCCCGACGGGAGCGGCGCTTACCTCGCACGAGTCCCTCCCACCGGCGGCCCAGCCGGCGCACAGGAAGATGTCCGGTAGGTGCTCGATGAAGCCCGCCTCGCGGTACATGCCCTCGCAGGCGGCGTTGGTCAGTACTGGCACCGCCACCTCGTGCAGCTTGGACGGCAGCGGCCCGTCTGTCGGCGCGCCCGGTCACGGTCACAGGGGTCACAGCCACTGGCAGGGGACGCGGCCCTCACAGCGCGGGGGGGGGACGGCCCTCACTGCGCCGTGGGGACACCGCTCTCACGGCGCCGGGGGGGGGGGGGGCACGGCTCTCACTGCCTGGGGAGACACGGCTCTCACAGCGCCGGGAGGACACGGCTCTCACTGCGCCGGGGGACGCGGCCCTCACTGCGCCGGGGGACACGGCTCTCACTGCTCCGGGGGACACGGCTCTCACTGCGCCGGGGGGACACGGCTCTCACTGCACTGGAGGATGCAGCTATAACTACACAGGAGGACGCGCGTGAAAGCCGCGCTGCCGCTTAACTGCCCTGGCAAGGCTAGTGACCGGCTTGCTATGCAAATGCAATTTTTCAGCAATTCAGCCATTCTGAATACTGGCACGACCGAACACCGCCAGTGGACTAACACGCTGTCATGTCTGTACCCAATCACCGACGCTAAATCCATCGACCCAATGCAGTCCCGGTCAGCCACACGAGCACGGCGCGTATGAGCCTACACTTTCTCTGGCACGGCCGACTTCAAACCGAAACGCGGGCCTGTCGTTCAAATACTGACTCGGTACAACTGACGTCGGCCAGCGAGTCAAACCAAGTAGCTCAGAAGACTGCTATCTCACAGCAAGCACCAGCCAATGACCCTTTGCGACTTCCTCCAATGCCCACCATTGCCAAACCAGTCCCACCTGGACGGCCTGGATGCAGTCAAACACTGCACTGGCGTGACTCTCCTCAACTGTTAACCAGGACATGTGTCCAGATACTTACTCTGGTAGAGTCGGCCCCAGCCCGTGACCCAGGCGGTCCTGTTTAGGTAGTCGTCATCGCCCTGCGGCAGGCAGATGGGCACGATGTTTGGCGCAAACTGCACCGGCTCGTAGAACCTGAAACACGTGGGATGACGTCACAAATGAGCCACTTGCGATGCCATTGACAAATGGCATCTGGCAGTATCGTCGGCCACCGCCAGCTCACACCAACGGCAGCATCGTCGGCCACCGCCAGCTCACACCAACAGCAGCATCGTCAGTCATCGCCAGCTCAAACCAACAGCAGCACTCATCGCTGTTTTTGTGTTCACATGTTATCCCGGGCCGCTCGTTCGGCCGCAGACCGGCCGCCCGGCGGATTAACCGTCGACCCACTAACCCCCAAACGGTCACACGGCCCGCTGTTCGACACCAGGACCGGCGTCCCGCTCCCCGTTCCGAGTCATTACCGCAGCGACCTCGGCCCGGCCGACACCAGTCCGCTGCCGTCTGTCACGGGCGGCGCGCCTGTCGCGCCGCCCGCCGCCCGCCGCCCGCCGCTCGCCGCCCGCTGCCCGGCGCCCGGTGCCTGTCGCGCCCCCGCCGCTCGCCGCCCGTTGCCCGGCGCCCGGTGCCCCTCGCGCCCGCCCGCCGCTCGCCGCCGTTGCCCGTTCCTCTCCGCCCGTTGCCCGGCGCCCGGGCCTGGCGCGCCGCCCGCGCCCGCGCCCGCCGCGCCGCCGCCCGCGCCCGGCCGCCCGGTCGCCCGCCGCTCGCCGCCCGCTGCCGGCGCCCGTGCCGGCGCTCGCCGCCCGCGCCCGCGCCGTTGCCCGGCGCTCGCCGCCCGCCGCTCGCCGCCAGTTGCCCGGCGCCGCGTGCCTTGGCGCTCGCGCGCCCGCCGCTCGCCGCCCGTTGCCCGGCGCCCGGATGCCTGGCGCTCGCCGCCCGCTGCCCGGCGGCCCGCCGCCCGCCGCCGCTCGCCGCCCGTTACCCGGCGCCCGGTGCCTGGCGCTCGCCGCCCGCCTGCCCGGCGTGACTCACCTGAGCATGGCCAGGTCGTATTCGAAGGTGGCCGGGTCTCAAACTCGGGGTGGATGGCGATCAGCTCCACGCGACGCTCGACGAACGTGTACGGCTCCGACTCGTCCTCCAGGTTGTACTCGCCCAGCCGCAGCAGCAGGCTCTCCGGCTTCACACTGTCGCGGGAGTGGGCGGATGTCGTCAGCACGGCACCCGGGCTGTGGTCGGCACAGCCAGCCCGGCTTTTGGCTAGCGCAGAGCAGGGGTGGGGCAAACGCGGCAGGCTAGAGTGATCACCGAATGGATTCGGAGACGACACAGAACGGAGCTGGGGTAGGCACAGAGGGTAGCTAGGATAAGCGCAGAGGGTACCTGGGGTAGGCACAGATTGGAGACGGGGGCTGGGATCGGCACAGATCGGGGCTGGGGTAAGCAAACCATGGGACTAGGGTCAGCATATGGTGGGGCTGGGTGGGGAGTCAGCCTGGGTCAGCACAGAGAGGCGGGTCACTGGGACGGGGCAGCTGGGATTAGCGGTAGCGCAGCACAGCTACGGGTGGCGGCTTACAATCGCCCTAAGAATGTTTTCGCAAGCAGCCAATCTCAGATGAATCATTCTCGTTTGCCGTTTTGAGCAGTTAGTGTGATTCCCACACAATGGTGGTGGCTCAAGATCGACGATGATGGCAAGTGCGATGGGAGTCGTGTTGGTGCGATTGTCCGTAGCCGGCAGTACAGCTCAAAGGACGACAGGTCATGAGTGACACGCTACACCACTGCAGATGCCACTGCAGGTTAGGAACCGGTCGTGACACAAAACACCGACCATCGTGGAAAAGCCCAAGTGATGGCAAGGTGAAGAGTGTGTCTCCCCTCCCCACCGCGAGAACATAACAAAAATGCTGGCCAAGTCGTCGATCCGTCAACGCTCTTCAAACCACTCATTTCTCATTGAAAGCCGAATGTGGCGTGTTTCTGGAAGGACTGTCTTAAAACGAGACAAAACAGAATGCCTAGACATGATAAGACAAGTCCACTCGCCCGAATCGCCACCCTGGCAGAGGACACGGTCGCCGGCGCCGGCCGCGTTCTGCGTCACTCGCCGTGATGAGTGGGGCGGCTGCTCGCCCGGCTCTGGCGGTCCCGCTGCGGGCGAACTCGCCGGCTGCACCGCGCGCTCGTTTCCGCCTGGCGAGCCTCCGTCGAACGGGACGAGCACGCCCGGGCGCGTCTCACCACATCCGTCGATGACCGGCACGGCCCGGTAGCCGGCCGGAGGAGCGCTCTCGGCCGCCGCAGCCTCCTCTCGCGGCGCCGCCGCACCTCCGCTCGGAGGGGCCGTCACGCTGTCCGAGTCACTCGGACCGTCGGAGCGGCACGGGCTGATCAGGGGACGGGGCGGGAAGGGCGGACGCCGGAGGCGACGCGGCAACTCGATCTATGTCTCTCTCACGCGGCGCTGGTGCTGACTGAATCAGACAACGACTTTGTTACACGCCCAGCGGACAAAGGGCCGCAGCGCAACGGCTGCGCCACCTCCGTGCCCGCTATCCGTCCCAGCTGCACCATGCTCGCCTCTCCGCGCGCGCCTGGCGCCACTGTGTCTCCTCAGCCATGAGCGAGCTCGCGCCTCGTCCACCTCGGTGGCCTAGTGGCCGACAGGCCTCCGTGCCTTATCCCTCCGGACGGCCCGGTTTTGGCCGGCACTGGCGGCCGGTCCGGTCCGGTTCGGAAGGCGTCAGGGAGGCGGCCGCGACAAGTCCGGCTGCGCAGCAGGCAGACACTCGGCGGCTCTTCCAGCGGCACACGGGCTCAACACGAGCCTGGTCACAGCGATCAGGCACAGGTACGGAGGAAAAACAGACTACAACGACAGTGTTCGGTGCCAAGCTCAGCGCGCTGGACACGCGCGTGTTCTGGGATGGGCGCTGCGATCCATACGGAAGGCGCGTGAAGCATAACACAAGAAACAAATGTGATGAAAGAGCCTCGCACCATCGACGACATGTGCTCTGGTTTCTCTCCACGACGAAGATGATAAGTCGTTCGTGAATGAATCTCTGAAAGGGACTCCTCAGACCACCTGGGCAGGGGAGAGACAGCGGCTGACGGGAGCTCTGAGTGCCGCCGCCGCCGCCGCCTCCTGGCGCGGCCGGTCCGGTCAGTGGCCGCCGGCTGACGGCTCCACAACGCGCGGAAACCAGCGTCGCACCCCGCCAACGGCGCTAATGGTGCCTGACGGCGGACGAACCGTGGCCCAGCGGCCGGCCGTCAGCCTGGCGAGTGCCGCGAGTGTGCCCAGCAGCGGCAGGGCTGAGGCAGACGAGCGGGCCCAGCAGCGGCAGGGCTGAGGCGGAGCGCGCCCCGCAGCGGCAGGGCTGAGGCGGACGAGCGGGCCCCGCAGCGGCAGGGCTGAGGCGGAGCGGGCCCAGCAGGAGCAGGGCTGAGGCCGCGGGTGACTTGCCGTCCGCCTGGCAGACGGGTGGTCAAGATAATCGTCGTTCGTTACGTAAACGCCATATTGTCAGCGCTGTCCGTCCGGCGCCGGGATCGGCGTCATGATCTGACCTTTCGGGTGCCTCTCGGGCCAGCGGCAACAGACCGGACGAGAGAGTGTCTCCACACGGCCCCCGGTGGCTCGACGCTGCCCGCTCGCGCCCTGATCTATCGCCCAGCCGATCAGTGATGGAGAGATGGATGGCCTGACGTCACTGCCGGGCCACCGGGAGGTCCAGCCGTCTGTCCAGACACGACGGACCGCCGCCGATAGCCTGCCAATGCTGGGAGCTGGCCACGGCCCGCGGCTGGGAGCTCCACAGCCACATAGGGATCCTAAGTCGCGAACCACAGTGCCAGCACGTCATACGTCGCCGGTTCGTCGGTTATAACGCCATCAGTCTGCTGGCCGTGACGTCATCAGTCCGTTGGCCGTGACGTCATCAGTCGGTTGGCGTGACGTCGTCAGTCTGTCGGCCGTGACGTCATCGGTCTGCCGCTGTGACGGCGGCAGCGTGGAAGAACGTCGATCGAGCCGCGTCACTCCGGCAGAAAGTGATTCGGAAGGGCAGCCGACGCGCGTGCGAGGCGAGGCGTGGCATGGCGTGAAGACGGCGTGTGAGGCGCCAGGAGGAGGCGTGAAAGAGCGGGCGCGTGGCCGACATGGCGCCTTGAAGCGTTGGGTGCTGCGCCGCGGAGCATGCTGTGACGTAGGCGAGGCGAACAAGGCGCTGATGGAGTATGGAGGTGTGACGATGCATGGTGCGAAGCTCAGTTCAAGCAGAGGGAGAGCGAAGCCCGCGCAATGGTGTCCAGTGCGGATCGGGACATAAGGGACACGCAGCGTAAGACGCGGCGGCGCTCGACAAGACGAGACGGAGACACAAAGTCAGAGGGCGAAGGATCCAAAGCTGGCGAATAGCATCTGGAACGAAATTACTCGCTCAAAGAGCCAGATAAGCTCAAAATGAGCAGTGTCAGACGAGCTCCCGGACAGGCCAGATCAGTGCCGCACTAGGCGCCGTGAGCTCCCCAGGCGAGCTCTCGGACAGGCCAGATCAGTGCCGCACTAGGCTCCGTGAGCTCCTCAGACGAGCTCTCGGACAGGCCAGATCAGTGCCGCACTAGGCTCCGTGAGCTCCCCAGGCGAGCTCTCGGACAGGCCAGATCAGTGCCGCACTAGGCTCAGTGAGCTCCTCAGATGAGCTCCTGGGCAGGCCAGGTCAGTGCCGCACTAGGCTCCGTGAGCTCCGCAGACGAGCTCCCGGACAGGCCAGGTCAGTGCCGCACCAGGCTCCGTGAGCTCCGCAGACGAGCTCTCGGACAGGCCAGATCAGTGCCGCACTAGGCTCCGTGAGCTCCTCAGACGAGCTCTCGGACAGGTCAGATCAGTGCCGCACTAGGCTCAGTGAGCTCCTCAGATGAGCTCCTGGGCAGGCCAGGTCAGTGCCCCACTAGGCTCCGTGAGCTCCGCAGACGAGCTCCCGGACAGGCCAGGTCAGTGCCGCACTAGGCTCCGTGAGCTCCTCAGACGAGCTCCCGGACAGGCCAGGTCAGTGCCGCACCAGGCTCCGTGAGTCTCAAGGGTGCCGCACTTGCTCCGTGAGCTCCTCAGACGAGCTCCCGTACAGGCCAGGTCAGTGCAGCACCAGGCTCCGTGAGCTCCCCAGACGGCGACAGGCCCGGGATATCTGACCCACCCCAAGACCGCCCGCCAGCCGCGGGTGCGCATCTCGACGCTCGGGCGCCCTGTCACGAGCTGATGGCTGCCGACGGATGTAAGGTCGAGGACCAGGCGCTGGCGGCGCGCCAAACGGCAGACGGCGAGACGGCGCCGCGAACCGGAGCGGTGCAGCGCCGCCCTCGGCCGGCTCAGACCGGCAGCACGCTCCCGCCCGTCCGCCGCCGGGGCCGATCCCCGACATCGACCGCCATTGGGACGCCGAAAGCCTGCCGGGAAACGTCCATATGCTAGCTACGCGTTTAGAAGGGATGGCTTTTATGGAGCGGATCAAGGCGTAAAAAGTAAGGACCGGGATGAACACTAACTTTACGCTCAGGCGTGGTTGCGAGTCGTGCTGGAGTTCTTTTTTGAATGTGTTAAAACCTTAGAGCCGCACATCATTAACTTTACCTCAGTGGCAACCAACACACCCGTCCTTTGTCTCCCAGGCAATTACCTTTGTCAATTACCTTGTAATCAATCAGGGACCAAACCGATAGAACTTTTTTGGGACGCTATGCTTGACGTAACGTAACAAAGGGAAGAGCCTTCGTCTAGTGTCAAAAGAATACCAGAATATGTGATCTGACTTATGGGTGGCCCTTTGTAAAACATGGGGTGCGGCGATCTCTTCACGTCATTTGGCCCATTCTGGTTTTCCTGCGGAATTATGCCGTAAACAAACGCGGTCAAAGTGGACATTTTGTCTTCTTTTCAAACAGCCTCCATAGCCCTCGCTGATGGCGTGATCAACGAAGAAAGTCTTCACATGATGCGGCCTCCAGAGTGCCCCGGTTTTCAGACAGATGTCGCAGCATTGCCTAGTAACTGACGCGTCAATCTCACCAGGACCACCAAACCCTTGATCAGCCCGACCCTGGAGCAGCCCAGGTCCCGGTTGCTCTAGAATCTTCCCGGTCGGGACCCTCGGTCGGTCACGGCTCGGTTAAACTCAGTCGGTCACACCCTCCCTCAGTCCAGCCCCTCGGTCAGCTTAGCATGCCAGTGGGCCCTGACGCTGGGTCGGTCCGGACTGCAGGTCAGCTCCGGCCCTCCGTCGTCGCGGCACCCCCTCCGGGCCAGCGCATGCCGCGCCGCCGCCGGCCGGCCGGCAGCCATCTGCCGCGCGCCGCGCCGCATCGGCTGTCGGTCGGCAGAGGTGGACGACCTCCTGAGCCGGCCCCCGTGGTCGGCCGGCCGTGACATGCCGCTCCCGCCGGCCGCCGGCCGCCCGCCCCGCCCCGCCCCGCCCCGCTGCGGTCACGGTCATCGGCCCCTGACCTCCGGGCGGCCTCCTCCCGACGCCCTCACCTGCACGGTGTAGAGCCGACCGCTGATCCCCCCCTCCCCTCCCCTTCGGCCGTCGCGTGCCGGCGGCGGAAGCCACCACGCGACGCACGCGGATGGAGCATGCCACGGCGACCTCGGAAAACACGGCGGCAAGACACGGAGGGACGCTGCCGCTGCCGACGGCGACACCCGGCTGGCCGAGCTTCTCAGCTGGCCACCGGTGGGACGGGCCCAGAGGCCGTGTGGGAGTGCACGCTTGCCGCGAAAGTGGGTCAGTCTTGCAGAACCGGTCAGCGATCGGCCCGGGACGAGAGGGCGGCCGCGGCGCACCGGCCCGCCGGTGCCGCTCGCGCCGCCCGCCGCCCGCCGGCGCCGCTCGTGCCGCCCGCCACCCGCCGGCGGGATCAGACAGCCACCCTGTGGCGACGGCTGTCTGGAAATAGCCTGGTTGACCCCGCCGGCCGGGCTAACACACCTCGCTCGTTCGAGCAAGGCGTATTATGCAACCGTACAAATCGAATGATGGGCATGGATTTTAGCTTGCAGCTTGCCGCCTCGGAATAATCTCCACGAGCCAGCGCATGCCTGACGGATGATTGAGGTAGATAATGCTACAAAATGGCTATCCGCGGCACTACTTTATGTCGGGTTACGGCCGCACGATGATCAGCTGCATGTCACGTGAATGTAAGCAGGGTTTCCTTCTGTAGCAAACACACACAAAAAAAAAAACACAACCACCATCGGCAGACGCATACCTAGTTTGTGATCATGGAAAGGACGAGTAGACAACTTAAGTGCATACAAGCGCAAATATTTCAACGGGGTTTAGCAGAGGGAATGTACTCCAATGTGTTTCAGCTTGGGCGACACAGATCGCATAATGGCGCTTTGCACCTTTGCACGCAGTGATAACATCATCTGGAAAAATCCACGGATTTGCATTCACGCCACACTAACGCAAGTGATTCGTGAAAAGCAACGCATTCCACCTACTATGTCACAACAAAGCAACGCAAAAACAAAACGTCCATTCTGTTTTCGCCAAATGGCGGGGCGCGCGTCGGGCGGCGTTCAGGGCGTGTACTGCCGACCGGGCCCGGTTTCGTCACGTGCCACCAGGCTGCCGCTGCGGCCGCCCTCTGACCCCGTGTCGGACGGCGATCAGGGCTGTTGACGCCCGCAGCCGGCCGCAAAACAGCGCGCACAACAGCTGGTGTCCGAACACCGTTTGTCTGCGCGCCGGCTGCCGGCGACCTCTGGCGGTGGCCGGCCCCGGGCCACTGACCTCCAGCCGGCCACCGTCGGACCCGTGACCCGGCGACACTCGGCCACTGTCGGACCCGTGACCCGGCGACACTCCGCCACTGTCGGGCCCGTGACCCGGCGACACCCGGCCACTGTCGGACCCGTGACCCGGCGACACTCGGCCACCGTCGGGCCCGTGACCCGACGACACTCCGCCACTGTCGGACCCGTGACCCGGCGACACTCGGCCACCGTCGGACCCGTGACCCGGCAACACTCCGCCACTGTCGAGCCCGTGGCCTGACGACACTCGGCCACCGTCAGACCCGTGACCCGGCGACATTCCAACACTGTCGGACCCGTGACCAGGCGACACTCGGCCACCGTCGGGCCCGTGACCCGACGACACTCGGCTACCGTCGGACCCGTGACCTGGCGACACTCGGCCACTGCCGGGCCCGTGGCTCGGTGACACTCCGCCATTGTCGGACCCATGGTCCAGCGGTACTCGGCCGCTGCCGGACCCGTGACCCGTCCGACCCTTTGGCGCCGAATGTCCATCTAGTCCAGTTAGCCACCGGAAACAATGTATTTCTGAGTCACAATTGGCCTGTTGGAATGATTTTGCGGTTCTGCACAGACGAAAAGTTGCAATGGCGCCAACATAATCGTTGTTCAGCACTATCATGCCGTTTAACTAGTACCTCCTGGTACACTGAAGGTCGTTACCTCAGCAAAAGAACTTTGAACTCATAAAACCTGTTGTCTGCCGCCCCAGCACGGTAAACCCACAGCCGCCGGCCGTGCTGTGTCCCTCATCACCCGCTGCCTGTGGCCTGACCTGCCTGCCGGACCGCTGGGGAGTCTGCAGGAGCTACCAGCACAGCGCTCCGGCAAGGTCAGCAGCTGGTCCGTTAGCCAGCACGTGGGAGAGGGCACACCACACCGTTACATAGCCCCGCTCTCACGTCCCGGCCGACCCAATGTTGACACAATTATCACTGACCGGTGGCAGGCGGCTGCCGACCGGAAACGGCTCGGCCCGCCGCCGTGCGCCGGCACGTTCTTGCCGGCTCCCCTCCGGCGCCGCCGCCGCGCCCGCCGGGTGTTTTTGGCGCGCCATCGCGCGACCGAATGGCCCAAATGCCGCGCGGACGGCAAAAACGGCGCGACGTGCCCGCTTACCTCTCGACGCAGTGGGCGGCGGTGATTGCCCAGTTCTGGTTGATCAGCGCCGCGCCGCACCGGTGCAGGTAGGTGACCTGGCGCCACTGCCGCACCGACACCTGAGCCGGAGGCGCCGGGTCAGCGGGTCAGCCAACCGTCCGGCCGGCCGGAGCACGGTCGGGGCGTCGTCGAGCGCGCTCCTGCGCCCTGGGTCGGCGGGGCGCGAGCGGCGCGCGAGAGGTCGCGGGACAAGCACGGCAGGCCATCATCGCGTCGAAATTGCCGGTGGCGTTCAGCTGCCAGATGACTGACCGGTCATCTGACATCTGTCTGTCAGATGAGAGTCGGTCGCCGTGGCGGCCAAGTTTAGAGGCAAGACTTTATATTGAGACGTCTCATTGGTGCTCTGTAGAGTACACTGAACTACGACTCACTGTACGCTTCCGCTGACGCTGCGAACACGCCACCAATTTCGGCGTGAAATGCACAAATGAGTTCGGAACAGATGCTTGAGATGCTATCGGAGTAGTAACGGCCTCCCTGAGTGGGTATCACATGACGTGACGCTCCGGGTTTCCGGTCACGTTACGCGTCATGTCATGCTCGGCCGCCATCGCCGGACCAGTGACGTCACGCTCGGTCGCCACCGCCTGACCAGTGACGTCATGATCTCTCAGACAAGTTGCGCCAAACCCAGCTTTCCGCAACAACAGCCACGACGCGCGAACTAGCTTAGCCGTGAACAGGGCGGACCGGGTCACTGACCTGCCAAGGCCACTCTCCGAAGTCAGAGACGCTGCCGCCGACAATCTTCTTCTGAGGCACGTATCTCTTGCCGCAGCCTGTAACCAAGGTCGGTGTGACAGACGGGCTTCCACTTACGTAGACCACTGAGAAGTTCTGATTCCATGCTTTAAAGGAGCATCACAAAACGTCGGACAAGAGGTAGCCGACTCAATGGTATCGTTCTGAACGAAACGCGCAGTGTGCAGCTTTATCGCCCAACTTACGAAATATGACGGCGTTGTCAGCACGAGATGTCGTAGCTAAGGCCTGCATGCCCAAATTGTGATTAACCTGTCCCGTGACAATTGGTCATATCTTCACTAGCGCTTACATCGATGGTTTTGTCAGGGATGTAGTTTCTTACTCAGTTGGCAGAGGGGGGGGGGGGGGGGGGTCCAGCCAACAATTCGGGCTCCAACACAATTTGAGAAGAAACTGGGCCAGGTTCGTGAATGAACCCGTTTTTGACGTATATGGGGGGCTTACTTAATGTTTACCAATCCAGCCGCCTCCCTAACGTGTTTGCAAAACTCTGTCCCAGAATTTTGCCGCATATTGGAACCTATGTGATGCAAAGGCTTGGTCTTTGCTTAGAGGTCACCAGTCCCTCATACGTGTGTATTTCTTTGATGCTTAAACCCCTTTGATACGGGGCCTGGTGTATCTTTATCTCAGTTACCACAGCAGCGCATTGCAGTGCGGCCTGTGCCATGATACCATTCGGATGGTGTGTATACGTGGACGTCCCAAATTTTCGATCATAACGGACTTCGTGCTGTCCCCTGACCACGCTACACGGTGCCATTCAAGACAAGCCTTGGGCCCCTTTTCCGCGTCTGCCCCTGCGCTGGATCAGCGGACATCCACGTCGTGCGGCAAGCACGCCTCCTCCGAATGACTGACGAATTCGCCGTGCCGCTACCTGTTCCTCGGCGTCCACGAAACCCGACCTTTCTCACGACCGACGGCCAATTGGACAACGGTCCGGGCCGGCGCGCGCTGCAGCCGGCGTCACGTCCGCCTGTCCGTCCCGCCCGACCCCGACAGCTGCGGTGCAGACTCATGTCTTCTGACCTGTACGTGCCCGGTGGCGAACGGCCCGCGCGGGGTTACCCTGCGGGTAAGGCTGCGGAGGTACGGCGCATACGCTGATCAGTGTTACTCCCAGGAACCCATCCACCTTATGCGGTGATCCTCGGACCCTGGTCCGGTGCGTTCACCAGAGCTAGGAGCTCGAACCTGACAAGTGATCGCGGTGTGCAGAGGACACTGACCTGTGCGGTAGTCCTGGTCCACGACCGGCGCGGCGGGGGCCGCCGCCGGGGGCTGCTCGGTCGTGGCGTTCGTGGTGCCTTCCGCCGGACCGCCGGCGACCGCTGGGGGTGCGGGGGTCGCCTCCGTGAGCACCGTCTCGGCCGTCGTGCCGGCGGATGGCGACGCGGACGCAGCTGCCGTCGTCGGCCGCACGGTGGGCGTGGGGCGCGTGATGTTCGGCGGGAGGAACGTGATGGGTACCCATCCGTCGGTGATGACGCCGCCGGCGCCTGGGGTGACGCCGGCCGCGGTGCTCGACGGGGTCCCAGGCGTCGACGGCTCGGTCGAGGACGGCTTACTCGCCTCACCCGTGACCGGAGCACCTGTCGTTGACTCGGAAGTGATGCCGGGCTTCTTCGTGGACTCAGCGGTCGTCGCCGCGGTCGTTTTCGGCGGCGGCGTCGTCGCGGGAGCAGAGGGTGTGGGTTTGTCGGTGGTCTCCGGCACAGACTCCGTTGCTGCCGGTGTGCTGGGCTTCGCCGTGCTGGCGGCTGTAGGTTTCGCGGTCGGTGACGGCGTGGCAGGCGTCGTCGCGGCCGTGCTGGGCAGTGTCGTTGGTGTTTTGGTAGGCTCTGCGGTGGCTGCTGGGGTGGGCTTTGCGGTCGTCGTCTCTGTCTGTGGCGTGGCTGCCTCGGCCTCGGGTGTGACAGATTGGACAGGCGGCTGTGCTGTCGCCGTCCCTGCTCCTGATTGAGTCGTCGAGCCTCGCGTGGCGTTATGGTTCTCAGTGGACGATGTTGCGGTGGTTACTTCCGTTGCAGAACTAACCGAGGCCGTCGTCTGAGAGTTATCCGACGTCTTCGTTGCTGTTTGCTCAGCTGTGGAAACCGTCGTCACGACTGGCCCTCCTGTCGTCGACTCAGGTGTCTTCGCGGTGGTTTCTTGCCTTACAGGCGTCGCTCCAGCGTCAGTGGTGCTGCTGGAGCTAGTTGTCATAACCGGACCTTCAGATGTTGGCTTCTCCGTGGTATCTGAACTTTCGGCGGTCTGCACCGGTTCAGCCGCTTCTGTTTGCACTGTTGACGTTGGCTTGGTCGGTTTGGGCTTTTGCGTCGTGGGCTTCTTCTGCTCGACCACTGGCTTCTTCGAGACTGGAGCTGATGTAGGCTTCGTCGTCGTGGTCCCCTGCGATCCGCTTGTGACACTTTCGGTTGAAGACTGAGGGGAGGATGCTATGGGCTTCATGGTAACCTTGTCACCACTCCCATCCGCCGGTTTCTCTGAAGCGGATGTAGTGGAAGGCGCAGGCTTCTCAGTCACCTGAGTCGCTCCGGCATCCGCCGCTTCAGCAGGCTCAGAAGATGTCATGCTGACCGGTGTCTTGACAGTCGATTCTGGGACATCCGTGATGGGCTTCGCGGCGGATGTCGGCCTAGGCGTGGCCGGTTTCCGGGTGGTTGCTGACGTGCTGACGGCTTCCGTCGTGGCCTTGGTGGCCTGGGTGGCCGTCGATGTTTTGCTGAGGTCTGGAATGAAGGTGCTGAACTGGGGGAGCGAAACCGTCGTGAACCCGTCCTCCGGCGTGCTAGATCCGGGTGTTGTAGGTTTCTTCGTGCTTGTCATCCCGGCTGTGGTCATCGTAGTCGTCACCGGTGTGGTGGATGGCTTTGACGTTGTTGTTGTAAACGCCGCACTCGATGAGGAAGCGGCCACAGAAGATGATGTTTGTGTGGTTGAAGATGGTTCGGTTGTAGCTGAGGTTGTTTTCGAGGCTTCACTGATGGCTGCCTGCGTGGTGCCCGCCTGGTTGGTTGCAACCGACGCACCTGTTGTCTGGATGACTTGGACCGTGGTGGGCCTCCTCGACATGGTATCGTCCGAGTCCTGCTTGTTCAGCTCCTCGTCCGTCGGCGACGGGGACGCCGTGAACGAGGGTCCATCGGACGACTTGACGTTTTCGTCTGTTGCTGAGGCCGGGGTCGGAGCGGGACGCTCGGTAGTCGTCTTCTCTGTGACGGCCTGAGCGGTGGTTGAAGCCGCGACTGCGCCCGCCGTCGTTGTCACCACAGACGGCCTGCTGGAGGTCACCGGTGTCTTAACTGTCGTCGGCTTCTGCTTGTCCAGCTCGGCCTGCGTCTCCGTGGGTGGCGTTTTGAGGTCTAGCTCGGCCGAGGCCTGCGTCTCCGTGGGTGACGTTTTGAGGTCTAGCTCGGCCGAGGCCTGCGTCGAGCTCGTCTCTGTCGCAATCTTCACCGGCTTGTTCTTGTTGACATCCGGCAGCGCCACACCGCCCGTCTCCACCTCGTTCGGGTGTTGTGGCTGCGTCCTGAACGTGCAGCAGCTGCCGAAGTAGAAGCCGTCCATGCAGGTGCCCAGATGGGTGCCGTTCCCCTTCAGGCAGTTCCAGGCGAACATGCACACTCCCGTCTCCTGAGTGTCCTTGTGCATGCAGGGCAGAGGTCGGATGGACCTGGCGCTCCCTGCCAAGGAAGATATCGTGGTCACAGGTCAGCTCCTGTAACCAGCTCGCTCAGAGGCGTGTGTGTTCTCCGAGTCAGGTGTGTTATGATGACCAGAGGCT